CTGAATCCTCGAAGCCTCAATGCCGGATGTAACTGCTACCCCTTTTCCTTTTTGCCGACAATGTCTGTCACAAACGCAACTCCATCCGCCGTGTCGAGATGAGTTCGGTTTAGTTGCAATCCTTTGCACTTTTATGGTTGTGGCAGAAAGAGAGAGGGTGAGTTGCGTTTGGGTTTATTGAGGGTATAGGGAGATGAGTTTTGCTGAGGGATAAGATGAAGGGGAAAGGTCCGGAGGCGAGGAGAATGGTGCGCGACGGATGTTATTCGCGGCGGTTGGGTCAATGTTGTTTTAAGGATGAGAAGGAAAAGGGTTTAGCGGCGGGAGAAGGTGATGAAGAAGAGGGGTAGTGAATAGCGCTTGATTTAGGGTTCCTGCGGCGCCGTTTTTGCTCTGAAAAGGGTTTTAGGGTTTGAAAGGGGTAGTGAACAGTAGAATTCAATTTAGGGTTTTGGAGTGAATTGGGGATCCGCCGTTTTGATGAACAGTATCCTTCCCCTTCAAATTAGGGTTGTTTGCCTTTCACTTATAATGCCAATTGATCTTCACCTTTGGACCCTTCCTGGGCTGCGAAACATGGGCCACCTTCCACTTTCCGTTTTCTTCTCCTTTTTTTCTGAATTCTTTTAATTTTTATTTTCTTAACATTAATTAACATTACTATAGAGAAAACTAATATATTAACATAACTAAATAATAAATAAAATATTAACAATAACAATTAAATAAACATTAAAAAATATATATAAAAACAAACTAAAATTTATAAAAAACAGAAAAATAATAATAATAATAATAATAAATATTATTATTAACATTAAAAAAAGAAAGATTTTAAGAAAATAATATTCACAAAATATTCTTAGGCCACGTGTCACACCTTAATTGGTCAAAAAGATAAAATTCTGGAAAAAAAAATCAACCAATTGCGAGCAGACACATGTCTAAATAACAAGAAAATAAGCGGGCAATGCAAAAGTAAAAAATAGAATCGAAAAATGCAAAAATATTTGAAAATGGGTAGGACAAATTTAGGGTATGACAGATGCCCCTATCTAATTGGCTTAAACCTAGGGAAATGAACTGCTACAACGTTCGTTTTCTCGAGGTAGAAGTCAATTAGATATGAAGAAAACCCTGAATTTGTCCGAAAGAAAAGGGATGCTGGGAAATTGAAATACTGGATAAATGTAAACCTCTGAGTAAACCGTAAACAACTGGCAAAAAGGTCGTCATCACCAAAAGGATGATGGGATGAAACACACACAGCTACTACCACCAAAAGGATGGTAGAGCAAAACACAATCGCACAATCTGACATTAATGACTATGACAGACCCCCTACCAAAAGGATGATAGAGCAAAATACAAACATAAATAAATATCGCACAACCTATCACCAACCCAAGTGACAGACCCCCCACCAAAAGGATGACGGAGCGAAACACACACAAACAATATCGCATAATCTATCACCAATCTAAGTGACAGACCCCCTACCAAAAGGATGACGGAGCGAAACACAAACAAACTATCGCACAATCTATCACCAATCCAAGTGACAGACCCCCCACCAAAAGGATGACGGAGCGAAACACAAACAAACTATCGCACAATCTATCACCAATCCAAGTGACAGACCCCCCACCAAAAGGATGATGCAGCGAAACACAAACAAATATCGCACAATCTGACACCTATCCAAGTGACAGACCCCCCACCAAAAGGATGACGGAGCGAAACACAAACAAATATCGCACAATCTATCACCAATCCAAGTGACAGGCCCCCCACCAAAAGGATGAAGGAGTGAAACTCACACCGACCACTACCACCAAAAGGATGATAGGAAAAACACTATCGCACAATCTGACACCAATCCAAGTGACAGACCCCCCACCAAAAGGATGACGGAGCGAAACACAAACAAACTATCGCACAATCTATCACCAATCCAAGTGACAGACCCTCCACCAAAAGGATGACGGAGCGAAACACAAACAAATATCGCACAATCTATCACCAATCCAAGTGACAGACGCCCCACCAAAAGGATGACGGAGCGAAACACAAACAAATATCGCACAATCTATCACCAATCCAAGTGACAGACGCCCCACCAAAAGGATGACGGAGCGAAACACAAACAAACTATCGCACAGTCTATCATCAATCCAAGTTACAGATCCCTCACCAAAAGGATGACGGAGAAAAACACAAACAAATATCGCACAATCTATCACCAATCCAAGTGACAGACCCCCCACCAAAAGGATGACGGAGCGAAACACAAACAAATATTGCACAATCTATCACCAATCCAAGTGACAGACCCCCCACCAAAAGGATGACGGAGCGAAACACAAACAAATATCGCACAATCTGACACCAATCCAAGTGACAGACCCCCCACCAAAAGGATGACGGAGCGAAACACAAACAAACTATCGCACAATCTGACACCCATTCAAGTGACAGACCCCCCACCAAAATGATGACGGAGCGAAACTAACACTCAAACACTATCGCACAATCTATCACCAATCCAAGTGACAGACCCCCCACCAAAAGGATGACGGAGCGAAACTCACACTCAAACACTATTGCATAATCTATCACCAATCCAAGTGGCAGACCCCCTACCAAAAGGATGACTGAGCGAAACTCACACTCAAACACTATCGTACAATATATCACCAATCCAAGTGACAGACCCCCACCAAAAGGATGACGGAGCGAAACTCACACAAACTATTGCACAATCTATCACCAATCCAAGTGACAGACCCCCCACCAAAAGGATGACGGAGCGAAACACAAACAAATATCGCACAATCTATTCGCGGCGGTTGGGTCAATGTTGTTTTAAGGATGAGAAGGAAAAGGGTTTAGCGGCGGGAGAAGGTGATGAAGAAGAGGGGTAGTGAATAGCGCTTGATTTAGGGTTCCTGCGGCGCCGTTTTTGCTCTGAAAAGGGTTTTAGGGTTTGAAAGGGGTAGTGAACAGTAGAATTCAATTTAGGGTTTTGGAGTGAATTGGGGATCCACCATTTTGATGAACAGTATCCTTCCCCTTCAAATTAGGGTCGTTTGCCTTTCACTTATAATGCCAACTGATCTTCACCTTTGGACCCTTCCTGGGCTGCGAAACATGGGCCACCTTCCACTTTCCATTTTCTTCTCCTTTTTTTTCTGAATTCTTTTATTTTTTATTTTCTTAACATTAATTAACATTACTATAGAGAAAACTAATATATTAACATAATTAAATAATAAATAAAATATTAACAATAACAATTAAATAAACATTAAAAAATATATATAAAAACAAACTAAAGTTTATAAAAAACAGAATAATAATAATAATAATAATAATAATAATAAATATTATTAGTAACATTAAAAAAAGAAAGAGTTTAAGAAAATAATATTCACAAAATGTTCTTAGGCCACGTGTCACACCTTAATTGGTCAAAAAGATAAAATTCTGAAAAAAAAATCAACCAATTGCGGGCAGACACATGTCTAAATAACAAGAAAATAAGCGGGCAATGCAAAAGTAAAAAATAGAATCGAAAAATGCAAAAATATTTGAAAATGGGTAGGACAAATTTAGGGTATGACACCACTATCCGAGCAGTGCAGTTGACCCAGGACGATGAGCACAAGCTACTCATCCCTACTTTCACATGGAAGTCATAATAGTCATCCATTGTGAGCCTGAACACTCAGCCCACAACAGAGACCATTGGACAAACGCTAGAGGCTCACTATCTGCAAAAGGATCATGTATTCTATTTTTTACTAGGCATGGCAAAAAAATCCGGACCCGTCGGGGCCCTCCCAGACCCGCCCCGAAATTAGCGGGGAAAACCCGGTTTGAGTGGGTACGGATGCGGGTGCGGGGAAAATCCGACTTTTAATTACGGGTGCAGGTACGGGTGCGGGGAAAATCCGACTTTTAATTACGGGTGCATGTACGGGTGCGGGGAGACACTAAGACTCGCCCGCACCCGGCCCTGCCCCCAAATAATGCATTTTAGTTTAATTCTCTTATTTTACTTATTTTAATATTCATTTATTAATTATATTTTTAATTAAATTATTAATACCTTTATTGCAATTAAAATAATTAAATTAATCAAATTGATATTCATTTACTAATTAAAATTTTAATTAAATAAATAATTAATTTATTAAAATAATCAATTTTTAAATTAAATTATTAATTTTTATTGCAATTAAAAAGAAATTAATTTTTTTTTTGGGTGGGGGCGGGTGCGGGTGTAACCGTTCTCTAATAGGGGCGGGTCTGGGCGGTAAATTTTTACCCCCGATTGGGTTTGGGGGCGAGGGCGGGTGTTTACATGGAGGCGGGTGCGGGTATAATAAAACCCGCCACTGACCCGCCCCGTTGCCATCCCTATTTTTTATCTTTCTCACTCACCTCTTCACCCGAACTGACTTAAGCATCAGAGTGTCTGCAGGTACACCTCCATCTCTGTCGACCGTTCAAGACCACAAATGTGTTGCTGGCCACTCACCTACTCTAATCCACAAGTTAAATAATGTAAACACCAATTATTTTTTGAAAATTCCGGTAAATATTTCAATGCAAATTTCAAATATTTTGAAATTTCCAATAAAAAATAAGGATAATTTTGATATTTCTGATAAAATACTCACTGTTTTTTAAATTTCTAGTAGCTCGTTCGAAATTTTCGATATCGTTCCACATATTTCAAATTTCCATCCCAACACTGAATTCAAAATTTTTAAAATGATTTTGTAGAATTAGTATTATTTTTTCATATATTTTGGGGGTTGTCAGATCTAACTGGGTGTTAGATAAAATCCTCGAGAAACTTTGAAAGGTGAAACCCAACGACGAAAGCCCGAATTATAAACTGCCAGGCCCATAAATAAACAAACAGTTCGATTTTCCTTCTTCCTCTTCAACGTTCTCACACTTCTCATCATTGCATTCTACAGCAACCAAACATGGAAGAATCACACCATCACCACCAAGACTGTAACACTCAAAACTCCGCCGGAGCAAAATCACCGCCCACCACTGGAACCTGCTGCAAGTGCGGCGGTCCCACAACTTTCGCACCACCGCCGGTATCACCTGCCTTCTCAGAAATATCTCCACCGCCAACTTACCGTCCCATCCGCGCTCCGGCCATCCCACCGGACCCACACTCACAGCGTGCGATCATCCTTTCTCCGGTTCCACAAGCCCAACACGTCCCCGTAGCTTCGCCACCTTACCAATTTCAAATCCCGATCAAACGTATCCAATCCCCCGACTGACATTCGCCGACTTCAAGACTCTGAGTCCGGCCAAAACTTCGTCGGATTCGTCGTCGCGCTTTCCGAATCCATCCGCGGTCGTAAAATCTCTGATCCTTGTCACCAATCTGAAACCATCAACACCATTGTCTCCATTCTCGAAACCCTAACTCAATGGATCGATGAAATTCCACCCGCTCAACAAGCTGCACGTTACGGAAACATTGCTTACCGAACCTGGCACGAACGCCTTGTCAATTCCGGTGAATCCCTCATGTTTCGGTGCCTCCCGAAGGATCTCCAACCAGCCGCTGTTGAACTTGTTCCATATTTTTCCGATAGCTTCGGGAACTCGAGCCGAATCGATTACGGTACCGGACACGAGACTAATTTTGCGGCATGGCTGTATTGCTCAGCGAGGTTGGGGTGATTAGAGAAGAGGACTACCCGGCTATAGTAAGCAGAGTGTTTGTAAGGTATCTTGATTTGATGAGAAAGTTGCAATTGGTTTATTGTTTGGAACCTGCAGGGTCACATGGTGTTTGGGGGATTGATGATTATCACTTTTTGCCCTTTATATTTGGTTCTTCACAGTTGATTGATCATAAGTATATGAAACCGAAATCGATTCATAATAGGGATATATTGGATAATTTCTCAAATGAGTATCTTTATCTTGCTGGTATTAGTTTTATTATGAAGGTGAAGAAGGGTCATTTTGCTGAGCATTCACCTATGTTGGATGATATTAGTGGGGTGCCTAATTGGAAGAAGGTTAATAGTGGTTTGCTTAAGATGTATAAAGCTGAAGTCTTGGAGAAGGTTCCCATTATGCAGCATTTTCTTTTTGGATCCCTTATTAAGTGGTATGTTTGCATCTTGGTTTTTTTCTATTTATTCAAATGTTTTGCTTGTTTGTCTTCTTTCTCTCATTAGATTTTGTGTTATTGTTGCAATTGTATGAGGATTTTTTTTATCTACTGTTGGAGAAAATCATGTTTGACGAGTGTTTTGGAAATTGTCTCTCAGTGAGGGTTCAACCCGTGGTTTGCCATGGCGTGGGAACTAGTCCTTCCGCATGAGGCAACAACAGTTGGTTATTTGCTTGTATAGGTTATTTAATTGTAATTGAAGTTCGGTTATCCAGATCGCATGACATGGCAGCCTTTCCATCTATAGGAAATAGGAAGAGTAACCAGCTAGACATTTACCATTATTGTCTTATAGACCAAGTGTTGGTGTCACTATGACAGAAGATTCATTTTGATGGTTTTCTTACACCCGTGTCGACCACGTGTCATATTTAGGTATAATAATATAGATTAAGAAGATGACACGGTCGTGACCACTCTCTTACGGTCGTGATGACTCAAATTGGGGTGTCACGGTCGTGACACCCTTGTGACGGCCGTGACTGCAACAAATTATGCAGTCTTTTGCAGGCTTCTTCATTTCTTCATCTCTTTATGGTTTCTTTTGTTCCTTTTGCTCTTAATTCATGATTTAGCTCCATATAATGATGTACCTGCAAAATGGTAAGAAAAACTCGAGAAATCGAGTGTTAAAACGGTGAATATGCGATAAAACGTTAATGAAACCTAGCAATATAATCGATGCGTTTTCTCGTTATCAAACTTCCCCAAACTTAAACCTTTGCTTGTCTTCAAGCAAATAGTCGGTTGAAAATCGGCGGACTAGATTTTATTCACGCATACTCATAACAAACCGTACGAGGGATCGTTTTGTCGGATAATCCGGTACTTTGATAGAACAACTTCCCGTTAAACGAAACAATCGGCAATTACATTACGATTTTACCTGGAGTTTTTCGATCTTATTTCGCCCGGTTTCATTCTAGCGCAATCACATTAAGCCCTTTGCCTTAGCACGCACGTAGTGGAGTAGCCGGTTAGCGACTTTGATCCTTTTTGAGCACGGGGTCTGGTACACGAGTGTGGTACCCCTACATATTTTATCCGATTTGGAGGTTGTGGGGGATCGAGCCGTAGCACGCCCTACCGAGTTCAGAACCAGTACCTCTGAACCAACTTGCAATGGACTCCTTCTCATATTTCTCGTTTCTTATATGCGACCGTGTACTTTGGTGCAATTTCTTTTCATTTTGCATCGAGATATGAAGGATCATTATTGATTAGGCATCAAACGCTTATATTCATCGGCTCCCCACGTGGTGTGTGTTCAGACGGTGCTGACTGCTAGTATAAACTACTAGGGGTTACTTTTGAACTGAAACTAAAAGTGTACTCGTAATGGTAATCGGGATGGAATTGCTTAGGTAGGGAGTCAAATATGTCAAGATTGTATTGGTCTTGCTTAACCGTTTTCGGCTTCCTAATTACGATTCCGTAGGTAAGTCGGGTAATGCGAATAATTAAAGATTTTTTCTGGTATAGCTAAATAATCGGGGAAAGTTCGAAATTAAAGAAAATAGCACAAAGATTTGCTCATTTCATTAAGTTGCGAAAAGAAATACAACGGAATTGAAAATACAACGAAGTGGAAAAGTGCGAAAAAGGGAAAATGCGGAAATGAAAGGTACCTCTCCCACACTATATCAGACATTGTCCCCAATGTTGTGATATAGATACTGTAAAAGTACAGTACAACGACAAAAACGAAAAACAAACATAAGCAAACTAAAACTATGGCTGCTGAGGACCGCGGGCTCGGCCTCTGGTGCGGGAGCGGCGTCTGGAAGGAGTCGCTTCAGGATCAGAACCGGTGCCGGAGGCAGCAGTGATGTTAATGCGGAGGGCTTCTAGCTCGCTGAAAATTTCTCCAAACTTCTCATTAGTAGCTTCCTGGTTTGCTGCAATAGTGCTGAGTAAAGCATCATACTGCTCCTTCTGCCTTCGCTCTAGTGCGGCGTTCATCTGGTTCTGCTGATGAATCGCACGGAGGACTTCCTCAAGTGTGATTTCGGGAGCAGGGGGCTGTCGGGTAGATGTCTCTGGTATATCCTGGACAGGCTCAGCTGCATCCATAGCGTCCTGCATCTCATCCGCTGGAGGGTCTGCCTGATCATCATGAATAGGGACGTGATCGGCAGCAACATGTAAAACAAAGAGCCAGTTGGCTCGGCTGGATGGATCGATGCGGTCGCGGGACGGCAGAATGATATGATGGAAAATGGTGCCATGGACAACAGGGCTATACCTGCCATCCTCTCGCTGCGCAATCAGGTGAGCGGACCTGCAATAACTCTTGGTGAGGAATTCTGCAGCTAGGTGAGGCTGATTAACGACCAAGTCACCAAGCCCCAACTGAATGGCGAGGGTGGTGACAATGCCGCCTATGAAGAACGGGGTGGAGCCTCTGTGTGCAATGGCCTGGATATGATAAAGCATGAAAGGGGCAGCGTTGATCGGCTCGTCATTAAGAGCGCAGTGTAAGAATAGAAGCTCCTTGGAGTTGAGCTTATGGTTGCTTTCTCGAGCGAAGATGGTGTTGCATATGACACGGTGGAAATAGCGGATTGCCGGGTTGTGAATGTGCGTAGCATTGAGGCTTTGGAAGGCTGATGCACGGGTGTTGGTTAAGTCGTGCCATAGAGTGAAAGCTTGTTCACTAAAATTATCGGGCACGCGACGGTGAGCTTCAGCTCCGTGATCGAAGCCTAACAACTCGACTATCCTGTCTTGCGGAATGTTGAACTCTTGGCCATGCAATCTGAATTTGGCGACACCGGTGAGCTGACTCTGAGAACCGGTACCGGTGATGTAACTGAATGAGCTTAAGAACTCCAGTGTCAGAAGCTCGAATGTGGGCTGAGGTTGACTGCAAAGATCCCACAGACCGACTTTTTGAAGCAGACTTGTAACACTGGCAAGCATTCCGAGTTCCCTCAAACAGACAGTGTCAATGTAACGTGTAGGTTGCACACCGCGGTTTTGGAATCGGAGAAAACGTTCTCTCTGAGTTTCTCCAGCATCACCTTCTCTAAAAGTAATAGAATCCATTGCATGCAAGAGCTTAGAGTGAAGAATGAAGATTTTTGATGTTTTGTGAAAAAATGGTAAAATGAAAGAAATATTGATTCGGGATAAATAATGGAGAGTGAGAATGTGATAGGTTATGATAATGGGGGGTTAATGAGATTTAAAGTTGGTAATGGGGAGGTTACGGAGGTTGTGGAGAAAATGGGTAGTTTTGAGGAAGTTATGGAGGAAGAAGAAGAGGCACGAAGAGAAACAGTTCTGTTTCTCACGATTCCTGAAATAGGGGTTGTCACGGTCGTGACAGGGGTGTGACGGTCGTGACACGCTATTTAAGCACGTCACGATCGTGAGATGGGTATGACGACCGTGAGGGCACGCTTCGTTGAATAATTTCCAGAAAAACATTTTCTCACTTAATTCACATAGTTTATATTAATGTATTTTCTTCACTAACACTCATATTAAATTATAAACACCATATAGTATATAATTTCAACACAGTACTATACTAACTTGCATGGCATGAGAGATTGTATATAATATGAAATAATGCAAGCATAACAGTACATAGAATGAAAAATATATAAATTGCTAAAAATGGAGAAATTTTGGAATTAAAGGTGCATTGCATAAAGTAATTGAAAATGAAGTTACATAAACGGAAATTACGGTATGAAATTGTTGCGAAAAATAAATCTAACTAGAAACGAAAACAATGAGAAAAATAAACTAAATCACTTATAGCATTTTCAAAAGCGTTTCTTCAAGTCTTCGATGGCGGAGTTCAAGTGATAGAATTGTTCGCAGGTTATGTCAGTCAATCCTATAATGTCCAATCGCATGCTCTTAATGTCTTCTTTAAATAAATTAATGTCAGTTTGGTAAGCATTGAGGGTGTTCATGATGTTTTGTAAGTTGTTAGCATAATCTCCTTATTCACTTCAGGGGTTTCATGTACTTCTTCAGTGTGGTCAATGTCATGGTAACCAGGAGGTGTCTCAGGGTCAGTTTCGACATCGGTCATTATATAATCTTTTATCTTGTAAGACTGAGGTGTTTCAG